TACCAATTGAATATATTTTCATTGATGCTAATTGATTTATTTCAATTGAATCCTAAATCAAAGAACAACAAAAATAAAAGAAAAGAAAACTTTTGCAATTTCATGAAAATCTTTCATTATCATGAACAAATTATCGACGATTTTAAGTGCATATTAATAATGTTTATCATAAAGATGATAATTAATTCAACTCTTAACTAGCTGAACGGAAGGTGAATTTAGCTGAGAATGAAAGGTAAAAAAGGAAAGAAGAGAAAGTCTGTTAACTATCAAAATTAATTATAATTAAAATGTACTTACAGTCAATGTTAATTTACTATGAAATGTTAATCTATTAATAATAATAATAATTAGATTTCTATTTATTTCAATTTGCCAACTCGGAATATGTTAATAGAAATTAATTAACTTAAAACATAATTATAACTTGTATTGACTTTTTTCGCCTCAAATTTTCGTTCTCGGGTTAATTTAATTTACAATTTTTGCCATTAATTGATTGCATTAAAATGCACTTTGATTGAAAGGAAAAACAAGAAAATTGAAATTTCAATTTTATCTTCTCTTTTCTTGCTGTACTTCAATGTTCATATCAATATCATGGAGTAAAGTGAAATGACAAATTGTGCTGATTAATAAAGATTAGAATTGAACTTTTCCAAGTTTCATGAGAGACGAACAGTGATGAGGATTGACAGTTGGTCAGAATATAGCTGAGCTTAGGCAGAATTTTCTATTCCCATAGAATCTACTTAATGGACTTTCCTTTCTTGTTCATTAACTGAACATCAACTGACCATCAAACATTAATCTTCAATCAGCAAATTTCAATATTCTTTATTATTCCATTTGCATAACTGCCATTCAATGTTCAGGTATGCATGTATAATGGTTGAGATGAAATATCATCAACTTTATTATTTGCAATCAATCATTTTATCATGATGAGGAAGGGAAAAAAGAAAAAGAAAAAGAGAAAAAAAAGAAAAGATTATTTGAATGAAAGGGATTCACAAGTGTGATAATTTGATGAGTAAATGACTGGGAGTGAAAAATGTATGAATGGAGTTTGAACAGGGAGTGATCATGATTTGATAGGTAAAGAAAATCGAAACAAGAAATTTTCTCATTTTCAAATTAATTGTTTTTCCACGGACTTTTCATCTTCAGGCAGGGAATTGATTCAGTCCATTAAGCTTTGATTTTAGTTTCATGCTAATGGAAATAAACAGCTAAATATCATCATCAGGCAAAAGAAGAATTTTGAAGGGAACAAGAATGAATAGATGATAATAAAAGGAATAATAATGAACTTGAGCTGAACCTTTATTGAACCTCATCAAAACTCCTTCTTCATCTTGGCCTTCTTTTCCTGTTCCAACTCCCAGTCAAAATGTAATAATTTTTTTTTCACTCAAAGCCAAATGTAACAGTGAACATTGCTCCAAGCTGCCAAGAACAATCAATTTACCTGATAAACACAAAAGGTACAAAAATATGTGTCTAATCTTCTCATGAACTTTTTGTCTTCTCTCCTTCCCTTTTCTGTTGCCATCTCACACCATCATCAACTTTCATTCTCATGAAGATAATGATGACTGAAAGTGGTGAAAAGAAGGGAAAAGAAAATAACAAAGTTTAGAAGAAAGTCAATGAAACTGGTTACGGAAGGAAGACAACAACAGATTTATCTTCATTCGTAATAGTACACGATTTATGGTAATGGGAGGTAAAAATGTTCTTGCTTCAGTGAAAGTAAATTCACTCCTAGACAACAAGAATAACAAGAATGTTGTACAAGTAAAATAACAACAACAAAACAGCGACAAGTTACATAATGCTAATAACAATGATGATGATAATGATGAAGAAGCGACAGGAATTAAGTGTAATTCATGATACACAACAGATATGCAATTGAGATTCGCTTTACAGCTTTCAATGTTATGGCAACAACATTCACTTGGCTTGTTGGCAAGGTGAGTCTGGGGTGGAGAGACACACACACACACCAAGAATTATGGTCAACTTGAATAATTAACGATGGAAAAGTTGAAGGACAATAATGGACATTGACAGTTCATTTCCTCAATTCCACCTCAAATCTATTATCTTTCCTATTCTCACCGAATCTCTTGCAATCTACTTTTTCATTATTTTTTGTTGTTCTTTTGACTTACAGTCATTTGTTTGTCATGAATCAATGAACACTTTAAATCATTATTTGGTTAAACCTGATAAACGTTTCTCTGTTTCATCATTTTTCTCATTCTCATTCCTAAACTTATCTTTTTATTGCAAATATTTTGAGTTTTTCTATTCAGTGAAATCTCTCCATTTTCCTGCTTCTACCCAAAGCAAACAAACCATATCAAACAGATTATCAACTCTGTATGACGATCAGGAATGATGAATAGCAGTGAATTTGGAAATGTCTATCAAAGGTTGAATGGTTTACAAGGCGAAACAAGTTCATCATATTTTATCGCAATTCAAGTCGAAATGAAATTAACTCAATTTGATTGAAAATTTTGTCTCTTATTTAATTTATTATTTTTCTGTTTTCCCTTTTGTTAGACAAGAATAAAAATCAATCTTTTCTTAAATAATTGACATTTTCTTCTGTTACATGTTATCTTATTATCATTATATTTAAACTTGTTTCATTATGCTACACTTGTTCAGTTGACCAGAACTTCATCATTTATTTTTGCTCCTTTTTCTTCTTCTTCTTTCTTCTTTTCATGTAATGGAATCACGCAAAAGAAATAATATCATTCTAAATGATAAACATTCTTTTCCTCATTTTCACTCCCTGTGAATATCATTGATCAATGTTGACTAGATCAAGTGATTAATTTTACTCATGAACATTTGATAGTGAATATAACGCCAATTGTAACCATTTTCTGCTCCCTGGTAAAGAATCAAACTGATAACTCTTTATCATCATCACTGTAACACCCATATCATGTTGATGATCAGTATTTCAATTTAATATCAACTCAAATGAAAAGAAGGACAAATAATGTTAATCAGATAAATAAGATAGTTAATGGTTCCATGAGACAGCAATCAATCTGCAAATTCATTTCTTTTGCGACATTCGTTTTAAACTGGACATGTTCATGTAAGAGATCCACTCCACTCCTCTTCACAAACAATTAGCAATCAACAGTAAGATTTGGAAATAGAAAATTTGAAAAAAGAAAAAAGACAATTCTTTTTTGAGTTTTCTTTTTTCTTTTCATCGGAAATTATGTCCAAAACTAAGGCACGGCATCACTTGCAAGCCCTCCGATATGACCATATAGGAGGCATATGTGTGTGGAGCTGTTATTCATTTTTGCAGACAGAAGTTCTGAGTATGATGAAATGCATATTTTTCGTAGAAACATGTAAATTAGTGAAATTGAGTCGAGTAAATGTTGACCATTTAATTGACCAAACAACTTTGATCATTCATTTCCACGAAAAAAAGGTTCTCCAGTTGTCAAGTTTTATGTCTTTTAGTGGTCTTTAGATTTTTCCAATTGAAATGTCAAGAGATGAAAATGATTTGCGTGTTCGTTTTATCATGAAATTCTGCAACATGTTTACAATTTAACTGTTAGGATATGCAATTATTGAGTGGGTTTGCCTTGTTTGATGAAAGTTGAGTTTGTTGCTCAATCCAGAAGAAACTAGAGTTTTGGCAAAAAATTTGAAGCAACAGCATTTATCCATTTATTAACTCCCTTTTACAATTAAAAGTGTTTCATTGCTTTTCTTCTTTCACCTTTTTTGGTTGATATTTTAGCACTTGCACTAATTTAACTCTTGCAATGCATATTCACTTACATTCCTATGAGAATTTAATGTCACTTGATTCTGGTGATGCTAATGTTAATAATGGTTACTCAGGCTGGGATCAATTATCGTTTGGTTCGTTTCAGAGCTCAACTAAATTCCCTTGAACTTTAACCAAAGTGAATAAGCAAAAGGCTTTCCACCTCCTGTTTAACCTCGATAACATTGACCACTAATGGAATCAAAGAGTTACTTCTATCTTGTTGAGGTTTAAGACACAAATTATCCTTTTCTTTCCAATCAACATGATCAACTCGACAAAATGAAACAAAGAAGAAACTCAGTAAATCTATTGATTAATCTGAATGCAAAGAATTGAAAAAGTTTTTTCACAATTCTTTTTAAAACAACCATTTATCGAGTGAAGTTCAATTGTTTCAATCAACTAGACTTCTGTACTCACAGTGAACAACCAAAGTTAAGCAGATTATTTACATTTACGATTCAGTTCTTATTCACCCTCCAGTCTCATCATGTTTATTCTGATTAAATCTCAACCAGTAAACAAAATAATGATTGACCAGAAACTAGTCAATAAGAATATGAAAAGAGATAAACTGCCAAATTCGGTTGACCTGTCAACACCATTTGATATTTACGATTTCATGGAAAAGATTTCAAGTGACATTTTCATTTTCGTGCATTTATTAAATGAATATAATCTTTATTTATGTAAAGAAATATTAATTGAAATGTATACATTGGATAACCAAATAAGTCTTTGACTTTTCCATATCAACTGTTCGCATTTATTGCTGCTGAATAATCATTGCTATCATGATGACTAAATAATCTATGGATGAGTTTGAATGCACAATTCATCGATTCCATTGATTTTGACTGTCAATGGATTAAGTAGCTTTTTTCATCGAAAATTGCAGAATCCAAAAAATTTATCATGAGGCTAATAGAGGCCTGTAAGCTCAAACTTATTGAAAATAACAAACCAGAGATGAAACTCATCAAACGAAAATTGATTCAACATGGAATTGACCTTGTAGCTGAATCGTAATAAACAATTAAATTCTATTTTGAAAAGATAAAAATTTGCTCTTGATCTTGTTTTGAATTGAAAATGGTTTGAATTATTGAGAACTCAGAGAAAGAATATATTAGCATGAGTTGAGTTGAGTAAAAGTTGAAATACTTACTTGATGGATCCTTTCGATATTCTGATTCTTCAGCTTCATCTTCTGGAAAATCTGATTTGATTGATTCAATTTGGAAATTTTCATTTTAAGTTTCATCGTAAAGTCAACATTTGATTTCAAGTTGAGTTCAAGTGGCCATCAGTCGATATTTATATCCACAAGTCGAATGAACAACAAGGTAAATGGAAGAGAAATGAAAGAAAAGATGAAAAAATGTTTAGATATTTGATTAGGTTAAGTATCAATGAAGACATTTCAACTTTAATAAGCTCAGAATTTCATAAAATTAACTGAATATTCATTTAAAAAGACTTGGAAGGAGAAAAGGAGATTTATCTAACGAAATGATGAAAGATGTTGGATGATAAATCAAGCCGAGAAAAGACAAAAAGAAGAAAAGATTGTCAAGACTTTAGTGAAACAAAAGCATGGCAAACAAACAGGTAATCATCATTTGGAATCTTTTGTTATTCCTTTTCATTTCATTCTTTTTCAATTCGCCTGAAATGGAAAATTTTTTTCTCTCAAAATGAAAACAAAATCAACAAGCCAATTATGTTATTTACAATTTCCATTCCCAGTTACAGATTATTCCTAATTCTTATTCAAGGTTGCAACATTTTCCTCAACATTTCACGAAAAAGAAAGAAAAGAAAAGAATGGCAAAAAAGAAATCATTTTTTATTTTCAATTCTTTATTCTGATTCTCACTGATTTCTTATTCTTTCATCCAAAATGCTAACATTTCAATAATAATAAAATGATAATAAACATTTTTACTCCATTTTCATGAAAAAAAATACTTTGCTAATAACAGTTTTCTAGTTTTATCTTGTTAAACTTTTCCAAATTATTTCATCTTTTATTCAAAATGAACTGATTGTGTTTTCCATTGAATAACATTTTTCAATCCAGTTGCTTCATCCTGTACTTAAATGGCAACAATTTTTGTAAAAATTTTACAATTTTTGAGAAAATTTTTCTCGAAATAATTTCGTCAAAAGCTCGTCATTTTCAATAGTTGTAATTGTTATCAGAGAAAAGACGAGTTTTGCGAAAACCAAGAAAATGTCAAATGTTTATCTTTTGATTTGGAAATGAAATGTAATTTCATCCGACAACATCATGTGGCTCATTTCTCATTCTTAATCTGATATACATCTCAACATTAACTTCATCCTTTTCTCATCTTTTCCTCTTCTTCCATCATCAACATTAACCATTCATTTTGAGGTATTTTCACTTTGATATGGATAAATTATATTATCATGTAAGCCTTTCACATTCGCATAGATTATACATTTATAAATTTTGTCACTTTTTTTCTTCATAAACTTCTTTATTCGCTTCCATTATATGCAAATCGATTGAAAACAAAAGACGAAAATCAAAAGAAGAAAAAGATTTCACAGAATCAACCATAAACACATTGGAAATGGAAATGTTTTTTCTTGCTATTCATAAAAATTACATGGTGACAGTCTAAGTAAATTTTAAATGCTATGATTGTTCAGCACAACTCTCCATTCAAATGTAAATTTTTCACTATTTTTTCTCTTGTTTTCTTTTTCTTTCATTTTTGTCTTGATAATTCCAACACTTTATTTGAATAAATATTATCAACTTTTTCTCTTTATTTTTCTTGGTTCCCGCTTTCGTCATTCTCTTCACCATTTTCAGATAAATTCATGTTATTACATTGTTTATATGCTTTGGATTAGCTTTGATCATTTCAAATGTTATTTCATTCACAATTCATGTCAGACTTTTAAGTCTTTTTTCATCAACTTTATGAGAATTTTTCTTCTCTTTCATAATGTATTTTTGTCATGTAATTTTCAATAATATGAATCGATAATTTTAGTTGCGAAATATTCTGGAGATGATCAAATGGAATAGAAAACAATTGAGATAATTCTCATGTTATCATCAAAACTGAAAGCTTTTAAATTCAATCAACTTAGTATATTCCTAGAAATCTATATTTTCCATTCATATAAATTTTATTATAATTTTGAACTTTGCACTGAAATCAGAATATTTTTCACGTCAACTATCTCCATTGTGCATTCAAAAATCGTTATTAGTGTTGAGTTGAAAGCACCGATTTACAGCGAAACTAAAAAATCTTGTGCAAGGGCTCACAATTGCAAAAGATCAGTTTTTTTGCTAAATACTAGGCCAGCCGTGAAGCGGCGTAGTCTGAGCTCGCGTTTAGCTTCATCAATAAACACGAAAAGAGCATTCATAATTAAAGAATTTTAAGATTCATAGGACTATGGACAAAAAACTTCGATTTTACCGTTTAGAGTTGGGACTTAATGAGTTTTTAGGGGTATAAACTGAGTATATAGGTGTCATTGAAAATTTTTTGGGTTGAAAGTTTTCGAAAAAAACGATAGATTAGACAAACCTCCTAAGGAATTCATATCTAGAAGCTATCATGTCAGATTTAGAGATATTATAATCAAGCCTCTTCTCAAAGGGATTCAAAAGCATAAGTCCATTATGTGTCTTCACACGACTGAGTGCTACATATGAAAGACCTAGGCTTATTTCTTGTTCTCCTATGTCAACTACAATTTTATCGAAAGTTAAGCCCTGCGACTTATGGGAAGTTATACACTGTGATGCATAGATTAAGGATGAGCATCAGCAACAACTAATGGGAATTGTGCCATGATTATGCAATTTTGTGGATGTTTTCAGGTATTTCAGTGATGAAGAACACGATAGTAATAGTTTGGTAAAAGTATGAAAGCTTACTTTTTGAATTTCGAAAAAACGTAAATTTTAGGAGATGACCAAAAAAGGTTACAGTTGAACTTAAAGATGAACTTTTTTAGATTTTTTCGGGTATGTCAATGATGGAGAACACGATAGGTATACTGACGGAAGATAAAAAGCAACGGTAAAGGAACGTCGGAAAAAGGCTGTTTTTTAAGAAAATATCTAGACCGGAAGTTGGTAAGTGACAATGTGTTTGTGCTGAGCAAGATTACATGTGCTGCTATCTAAATACAAAACGGGAATGTATTCAGTATAACGGTTTGGTTTTTGTACTCAAATTGGTTGAAATGTGTTTTTCTTGAGTAGACCGGAAACGGAAGTGTTCATTGAAAAAATCTGCCCTTTCAGAAATTCAGCTTTCGTTTATGGACATTCTCAGTTAATATGAAAATGATCAGGCAATTACTTTGAAAGTTATTGTTGACAAAGTGATTTTTTGAGGAAGCGTAGGAGGTATCTTATAGTCTTCGCTTCGCTCAGACTAATTAGGTAACCGAAAAAGTAATTTGACTAAACAATCCTACCAATTAGGTAATGTCTTTAGATTTATGATTAATTTTGATTTTGATATTAATAATTGAACAATATCTAAGCTCTTAATTGCATCTAATTTCAAGATTGAAAAATTGATTAACGCAATTAAATTACAATTAAATTGGATATACTTTTTTCCGATTTTTCAACAATCGAATTGCAATCAAAATTTTATTAATGAATAATCATTAATTATTGAAAAACCAACATCGATTTAAAGCTTAGAATTCATATCATCTATTGACTAAATTAGGTGGTTCTACTCATTACCATTATTCAATTATTTGAAGAAAATCAAAATTCGATTTAACATTGAATTGCCATAGAAAGGGTTTTTGACGATTTTCAATGAGATTTTCGTCAAAAATCTCATTGAAAATCGTCAAAAAATTGTCATTTTTCAGCAATTTTTTTCAAATAATTAAACAATGGTAATGATTTGGAACACTAAATTTGGTCAATAGATAATATGAAGTCTGGGCTTCTGATTGACGTTAATCATGCAATAATTCATGATAATTCTTTAATAAAAATTTTGATCAAGACTCGATTGCTGCACAATAAGAAAAAAATATGGATCAATTGTATCATAATTTGATTGTGTTAATCAAAATTTTTGATTATGAATTTCAGCTCAAATTGAAGCCAGAACATGCATTTAACATTAATATTAAATTCAAAATCATGCATTAAATCTAACGATATATATTAATCATTTTGTATTAGTCCGATTGTTTACTCAAATTACTTTTTTGGTTACCTAATAATAACGTGTTAACACGACCGATCCAAAGATTACAAAGACGGCTATAAATCGCGAGAGTAAAAGACCAAAAAGACAGCAAACAAACCAAAGATTTCAAAAACAGCTAGAAATCGAGATAGCCAAAGACCAAAATACAGCAACTTAACTTTAAGTCAAAAGACGGCTGGACCCAGTAAAGCAGATTAACGGTTAAAATAACTAAGTTAACTTTGAAACTTTCAAAAAAAAGAACGTTTATTCACAATGATGAATGAACATGAACTGATGATTTAGTCGATCCAAAACTGAGTATTTATACAAAAATCAGTGAAGAATAAACCATACAATTATGTTAATCACTATTCGATATGATAATTGTATTAATCGTATTAAGGACAAAAATGAGGGAGGACGATATGTCGCACGTACCTATTATAAAATAAGTCCTCCAAAACATAAATATTCAAAGACGTTTGAAAAATAAGAATAAAAAATTCGAAATTCATAAAAAAGAGATCAAATTAACTAACAAGGGAATTGTCTCAGGTGTCTCAATAATTTCGGATCGGGACTATGTTCATTCGATAGAGCATAAAAACTAGGATAAGGGTTTGTCGGCTTTAGATAGGAAACTTTCGAGTCACGAGAAAATTGATGTCAAAACCCGCAAAACCCGCAATTCTTGCAAAAAATGATAATATCGAATAGTGATTCTAACTTTCTAGTTTTTTGCAAGAATTGCGGGTTTTGCGGGGTTTGACATCAATTTTCTCGTGACCCGAAAGTTTCCTATCTAAAGCCGACAAACCTTTATCTTAGTTTTTTATGCTCTATCGAATGAACATAGTCTCGATCCGAAATTATTGAGACACCTAAGACACTTCCCTGGAATTGATCAATCACAATTGAAAAAGTTTTTGATTTAATTTCATTCTTTGTGCAAAGATTGAAAAAAAGAACGGACTCGGACATACTTGTAGAG